AAGACTTTCACACTCTATAATAGATTCAAGTTAACAATGACTGCATTTTATAGAAATATTTAGTACCAATATTTGAAGAAATATGTTTTTGTAACACAATTACAAAATAATTATATCCTGTACTATTTGTAAAGAACAGGAAAATTCGTTACGAGAATAATATTTAAAAATAGACTATTCTATTTTAAGATGAAGATTAAAGATTAGTAACTCTAAAATTAGGAAAAGTTTTTAAATATATTTCAGAATGCATTATGCGTCCGCTGATATCGGTTACTTTGAAAACTTTACAATATAAATAAAATTATTAATCTTTGAATAGAAAAAAAAGATTATTAAATTAGATTTTTATTACAATATTTTGCAATATATTCTAATCAATTCAACTCATTCAAATTTCAAAATTTGGATGATGTAAATATATTAGAACAAATTTTTTTAAATACCTAGTTAAATTTTAAATAATTAATTTTTGTTTAATACCGAGAAATGTTTTTTTAATGTATTTTGGAGAATACGAAGAATCTGTATTATAAGTTTTGAGCCTTATAAAAATGTTATATATATTTTATAAAACAAACGATATATAAAACCAACATTCATTAAACCAAAATTCTAACTGTAGGCTTAAAATAGTATTTATACACTATACAATGAAAATCTATACGTAAATTCTTCATTTTTAATATATTTTTTTTCATTTTATATTAATAACTTTTTCAAATTATTCCATTTTATTTTAGTCTATTTCCCATAAATTTATAATGTTTAATTTTTAATAAAATTAAAAATAGATTAAAATTTTCGACAGTAGATCAGAACTAACCGAACATAGCGCACATAAAATTAATAAAATACATTATTTGTACGTAATCAGTTATTTTTATAATAAATGTATAGTAGATTAAAAAAAAATTGTTTACTTTTTTTGTAGATAAGAAAAGTTTAATTATTTTCAGTATTTTAAAGTTATTTATCACATACTTATTCTCAAAATATTATTCAACCAAGTTCTTTGTAAATCCAAATATATATAATATTCAATAATATATTAAATTTAATGATAAAATTTAATATATAGTACAATTATTTTCAAACATTAAATGTTAGATTTATACTAATAGATTGACTAACAATTTTTTTAATAGATAATGCTGTTTTGGAAAATTTCTACTCTAATCGCCATCGCTACAATGTAGTAATTTACAACACAATAAAAACCAATTACAGATTCCTACTTTATTATATCAAATGATCGCAATATCTTCAAATTTCAGTACTTTGATTTTTTTACTTAAAAAAATGATATAATTTATTCAGATATTTTATTTGTTTTGGAAATCATATTGTACACGGATACTCTATTCAACCAATGCTATTTGGTTCCTCAAGTGAATTAATAAAAATCTTTTAAGTCGATTATCGGTAAAACAGATATCTTTTTTGACACGGCTATATAGTATCGTATATTTTCTGTATAATGAATTATTATTAATTTTATTATTTAATAATTCGTTTATCGGGGTATTTTTGCAAGATAAAATTGTTTATGCATTTATGCATCAAACGGTTACTTTCATTAATTTTAATACACTTTCACATTTATTGACTATATAATATTTTTTGCAAACTGATAACTGATAAAACAATAATTAAATAAAAAATATTCGTAATATATTATATAATGCTTCAAATTATTATTTTAATTACGTATTGAATTATGATTTTTTTATTGATATTTTTAAACAAATTTTATTTAATTTTATGTTAAATTGGTCAGTATTATTTTAACAGGAGTATTTTGTATAGTATATTCATAGAATTATTAATAATTTAATACATATGTTAAAAAGAATAGCTTTGTAACCGTCGATTATTTATTCATATTACCTTTGTAAAATATTATTTAAAGAATCGTGGACTATACAAAAATTATAAATAATGAATAAAAACAGAATTGAATATATTTTTAATATATTTTGTATACGCTTATTATACACATTTGAAATAGTAATGATTTTAAAATAAAATTTCAAAATATAATTGATTTTCAGTCATTTCATAGTTTTGTTAGAATTTCTATAATTTTTTTGTTTTTAGAAAAACACACAGATTGCATCGAAATCTCAATTACACTTTAACAAAAGAAATTTTTTTTATCTTAATATAACTTATACAAATAGATTTAAATATTCATAGAAGTGTACATTGACTTTAAGCAAAAATAACTAGCATATTATATATTTCAACTTTTTAATTAAATTGAATATTGACATTCATTAGAGTCATTTATTGTAAATTCCGGAGAGTAGTTTATATGGAACCTAATAAGAGTAGAATTATTTTAAAAATAAAATCACAAATTTAATTGTGTACGTTCAATTTAAGTGAATATAAAATTAATCAATTATTGAAGTGTATTAATTTCAGTACTTAATTCATGAGTATTAGAATATAATTATAAGAGGTCAATTAAATTTTATTTGATAGCTAGTTTTACTTAAAAGTTATTAGAGAAAAATAATAGTTTTCTCATTCGATGTTTAAGAGATTAATTTTATTTTAAATTATATTAATACTTTTATAAATCATTAAGATAAAATGACTATAATAGTCGGTTACTTTAAATGAAGTATCGTTTTGAAATTTAAAACTTTAATTGTTAATAACAAAAAAAAAACTTTTATTTATTAAAGCATGCACATTTTTTAAATCTAAGCTTTTGTGTACATAAATAAAATAGTAAACTTTAAAATAAATATAATTTATGTTTATAAAGTATCCATTATATAAAGTCTTCTAGGAATATTGACTATTATATAAAAGCTAAAAGCTTTATATAATTATTACTTTTGTATGAATTTTTCAACTTTCAGTCTAATTTTTAAATATATTTAGTTAATTTCTTAAATGAATAGAATCTTCTTTTCGGGTAATTTCGAGGTAATTAGCAGCTATTACAAAATAATAAATATAGGAATTGATTCCTGAATACTTAATAGATAAGGTTTATATTTATGGATAGAATATAATTTTCCAGTAAAAAGTATATTATTCAAATATTTTTATGTGAAATCCAGAAATAATTAAAAAAAAATTAAAAAAAAACGCAGGATTAATGCATTATATTTTTTTATCCTGTAAATTGGGATTTTCACAACAAAGATAATATGTGCAATTGTTATACGAACGACAATGCAAATGTGAATGAGCGAAAATCACCCTTCGAGTATATATTATGCAGAATGAAGGATTTTTTAAATTTTGACCAATCATTCAACATGTATTCAGATAAGTTTATTTGTAATTTTTATCAAATTAACATTGAACATCCTATTTATTAAAAAAAATTTTAATTAATAGTTTGCATTTAATTCTAATATTATACTAAGAAATATTGTAGAAAAATATTGAAAATTACAAAACCAAAATTGTAATAAAATATAAGAATTTGTTGTACTAACATATGTAATTATGTATTGGTTAAAATTAAAATTATTTTCACATAAACAAAAAATAGATTTTTTTAAAGAGGATTACATTTTTTCTGAAAATTGTTTTATCGAAATTTATATTTATACATGTCTATAATTCATATAATGAATTATTCAGATAATGTATTTGCTTGTGCACATAAGTTGTTCGACCTTTTGAAAGTATTGATTCGTTAAAAAAATTATTTAAGCCCAAGCTGAGGATGATATATCATTAAATAATATATCACTAAATAATAAATAAGAAATCGAATAAGTCATATAAAGCTTAGTCGGCGTGAAAAAATGTATATCTCATAATGGCTCAAATCAATAAAAAAAACATGCATTGCAACTCCCAATATCAATTATGACACGGCGACATCGCTGAGTGGCAGTGCCATGTTTCTACGCTTTTATACGATCTTCTTTATACATTAAAATTACAGTTATTTAGAATTTGGCGTTAGTGAAAAGTGACTTTTTCGTTTGTAAGTGAAATTCAATTTTACAGTGTTTATCATTCCACCCAATGGAAACTATGTAAAATTAACATTTTACTTTTAATTGAACTGCAAAATTCCTTATATACACCTTGTTAGTAATGCAAGAATTTAAATAAAATAATATATGTTATAGTTGTAAAATTGCGTCCAATTAGTAATGTTATGGATACATATAATTTCATAAACAGATAGTAAGGATATTTAGTAATAGAAATTTGTTCTTATAATTTATAGTCACACGTTCTATATTGTGAACCATACTTGTCAAAGAAACTTTTTCAGACAATTTCATGTTTATCATTAATGTAAATGGTACAAAATAGTTTTTTTTAACCTTTTATATTAAAATGATTACATATATCTAGTAAAATGAAAAAATACCGTTAAATGGAGACATGTTAATTCTTTTGAATACTTAGTTCGAAGGGGAAATGAAAACTTCATTTCTAAAAAGCTGTTCGCAATAAAGCTCACAATTGATTAGTTGCTATTTCATTCGACTGCTCGAACAATAAACTTTTAGTTTCATTAACTTGTAAGATTTTCTAGGCTTCCAAGTACTATTCTTTGGTGGTAAGTGAAATTTTATTCAAATAAAGTACTAAAATTGCTCACCCCCTATACTCAAAAAGGATGTGAAACTTCTAAAGTTTTTGGGTGATCGAATAGGTCACATTTTCATAAATGTTTTAAAAATTTCTTTTGATATTTAATAATATTTTTCAACTTGTTCATGGTGATACTCGTATGAAAATATTTCATATATTATATGATTGTAATAAAACTTATATTATCTTATATAATATATATAACTTATAATATATATATATATATATATATATATATATATATATATATATATATATATATATATTTATACATACATACATATATATATATTTATACATACATATACATTTTTGTATTATACTGATTTTTAATATAACATATTTTTCGTTATTAGGAATTCTAGACCTTCTTGTGGAATAAACAAAGTTGAAGAAATAAAAAACAAACTTACCGAACGCAATTCTTTGATTTTAAGACCTCCTTTACCGATAACACAGCCTGCCTGACTCTGATGAACCAACATGCGCAGATCGATTTCATTATCTTCTCCGTTTTTCAAGCCGCTCTGAAATAGTTCGAGAATGAATTATTTTCTTATAAAATAATTCTTCATCTTAAACGCATTTTTTAACAAATACCCTGAATATCACAAAAAAGATCCCGGTATTGATACTACCTCTGAACTGTATATATTTTACAAAATAAGTCGGGGAAAAATAATTTCGTATTAATTCAGAATAGAATTAGAATTATTCTAAAGGCTTTTTCAGTGATATGCTAAATTGTATAACTCATACGGTCTGTTTTACAATACTATTATACTTTTATACAATACTTTTATTCAATTAAAAAATATATATATTATCAGCGATAGTAATATAAAAAAAAGTAGATTCAATTATACATTTCAATCAATGCTTTAGTATATATTTATATAAGTTTAAAGTAAGAGGTATAAATGATAAATTTTAAATGTTGATTATTTTTATTTTTATTACAACTATCACTTTTATTAGAATTGATGATATATTGAATATTTAAAAACTGACTATTTATAACATTTTCTTTTATAAAAAACAGAATTTTGAAAACAATTATTAATTAAAAATCTGATGATATTTTTAGTATGAATGTCGTGAATTATTATATCATTACTATTATAAATTAAAATATTAAAAAATAATTGATTTAAGCTTTTTAAGAATTTACTTAAATTTTTTTTCTTTATTTCAATTTTTCATTTAATTTAATTTTGAAAAGAACGAAAAGTGTAGAAAATCATAGATGTTATTTGTTTTATAAGAAAAATGAATAAATATCTTACCTCTTCTAATTGAGGCACTATGTCACCCAGGACAGTGAGTACAGTATCTAGATCCGAGCTGATGGTCAGGATCCTAAAATCAGAAAAACTCGTAGAGTTATGCAAGTTCCGTAAAATGTTCCTTAATTTTGTTATTATAGAGGTAAAATTTAAAATAAATATCAATAATAAGATCTGAGAGAATGAACGATTACATATAATTATTTAATGTATCAGCAATAGGTATAGTTTAGCTTAAAATACCTACTTTACCATTACTTGATTATTCATAGTAATTTATTACGTAATATAGGTTTTTAATTTAATTGTATTAAATTTACTTGTAATTTCATAATATTAGGAGTATAGCCTATGATTCTAATAGTATGCTTTATTTATTAGAATATTTTTATGTCTAGTGGCTCTTGGACACTTCGTTTTATAATTGAATTTATCGGAATTATTACCGACAGTGATAATGGGCTGCCCTTACAGACTGTTTTACTATTAGACATATTTTTTATTTAATAATAGACAATTATTGCATAAATTTACACATTCATTGTATTTTATAGATTATTATGCTCGTATGTTATTTATTACCTATACAGTGTATATTGAAAATTAAAAGTAATAAACCATATTTTTTATTTATAAATATTTATGCATGGTAGAGAAAAGATAAGTAGCAATATTAATGCATGTGAAATTTAATTAAATACAAATTTTTGTTTGAAACAATAGGTGTTTGATAAAAAATAAAAAATGATATTAAGAGATATATTTTTACAATAATCAAAACATGTTAAAAGCCTTATTCTATTTTCATACGTATCATATGCTATTTAAAACTATAAGAATATTATTTTTGTTGTATATTGAAAAATTATCTAATTTTTTCAATATTGGAGAAATATTCATGGTTTAAAGATTGTTTTACAATGTATCATTTCATATACATCTTCTGTTATATATTATTTTATGAATATTTGTAAAACACATTAAATATGCGCATGTAATTTATTACATTTTTCTGCTTATCTTCATTAATATTTCTGAACATAGTAATGCTGGAAACAAGTTCATAATAATTACGTACTTCTACTCAATCTTTGTAATTGTGATTGTATTTATATAGGTAAAGTTGCAATTAAACTGCTTGTAAATAGTAAATCCTTTTTTTCTTCAAAAATCTAATATTTGACTCAATTATTTTTGTATCGATCATAAAAAAATAATCTATTATAAAGTATATTTAATCAGCAGACTGCTCGCATCATTGGAGCGGTATCATCTATGTTTATCTCTATGGTGAATCTTTCGTATATACTATTAAGAAATATAACATACATATAAATAAATCCGACTGAATTTTTATATAGGTTTTATACAGTTCATGGATAATAATGCGAATTTGCATTTTCATTGAATAAAAGGAACTTATATATTATTATATTTTGTCTTATTCTTATCTTGTATATAACCTTATAAGAAAAGTAATGCCATATTCCAATTAAATAAAACATCGTTAAGTGCAACCTAGTTGCAGTGTTGATAATACACGCGAAAAAACTGGTATTTAATAATTATGGAGAGTTGATTGGACATTGTCAGTATATATATATTCCGCATTATACGCGCGGGTTCGATACGATTATTGTCTAGTCAATAATACAAAATATTGTTAAATACGTATTTATTATTAGTTTCATAATTGCGCTAATTGACAAGTGGTCGTGGTGTAGATAATACGGAATTGAGTATATTAACGTCGGTGTAAGCTGTGACTTTATGATAACTGGTATGAAAAGTTGGTTGATGGTAAAGTAGGTAATGTGAACTTGAGCCTATTATTGACGAGTTGATTATGGCAATTATTTGTAAATCTTCTAAGTTCTTATTATTAATATAAAACTTTTTATTAGGAAATCACGAACAATATCAAAAAAAAATCGCGCCAGCTTAAAAAAATTTGATTTAGTTTTAAAGAAAATTTTGTTTTTTCTTGAAGCTGTAGTAAATTTGTATATTGAATGTTAATCGCGTACGTAATAATTTTAATGCGGTTTTGTTCACATGAAATTATAAAATTAATTTTTAAAAACTTATATTGTATTATTCCATTACCAGTATTTTTATTTGTATGAGTTTTCCTATGCTCACGAATAATGGACAGTCATTTTTAAATGTGGGTAGGCTTTGGTATTTTCGTTTGCTTGCAATTTTTACATAAAGTAAAATTGATAATTTCTTTAGCCACGATAACGAGGTAATTAAGATATTCTTATATAGGGATATATTAATTGATAGGGGTATTTACTACCTCTTATTAAAGTTTAAGTTAATTTTTCAACGTTGTAGCCATGGGATTTCTGAAAAAATTCTTCACGTTTCATCATAATTTTATTTTATATTTTTTTGCAGATACATTTATCACTCAAAATTAATGTCAATAAAAAATATTTTTTATCAATATATTTACAACATAAGAGAATATATTTTTTCTCCAATAATGAAATGATCTATTAATAAATATTTGTTTTTAATTATCACGTAATTTTGATAAATAATCATGTCTGCATTGATTGTTATCAGTTCAACTTAAAATACTATCGTTGACTTTTATTTTGGCATTATCCATTCACCAATCAATCTTTCGTTGTTGTAAATAATACAAATGCCAATATTAACGTCATAAATTTTAACGACGAATCTTCAGGTCGCTCAACATTCCATTTAAAATAGTTCAATGCTGTTTTCTGTTCCTTTATTAAAAAGGTTAGTTACCGCACCCTTGAATTGCACACAAAATTGAGTGGCAGCCAATTATATTAAACACATATAGGGAATGTTTTTAACAGTTAGGTCATCTTGATAAAATTGTCAACAGTTGTGAACAGAAAAGGTTTTTATAACTTCCTTAGTTTGATATCTGTGATATTAATAGCTTACATATTAACTGATTTTAGGAGTTATTTATTCATATATTTAACATTAAATATTAGTTGTAGTGTAAAGTTTTTAAAACTTATTTACAGAGAATAAAAAGTTGTAAATACGTGTATGTCGATTAATGTAAATTTAATAGATTTATATTGTTAATTAAATTACTTCGTAATATAATTTATATTCGTAAACAATGAAGTTAAATGAAAAATACAAAAGATTTGAAAAATATTTTTTAAGAAAATAAACTTAAAAATAAATAATATTTTTAGACTTATGTATTCATTTTTTTAATGAAGTACATAAAAATTGTTGCTGCATCAATTTATTAGAATTAAAAATGTACAATATTTATTATATTAATATAATTAAACAAAAAATAAAATTTAAGATATTTTATTTAATATCTGGATATTATCGAAATCACTATATGAGTCGAAGACATATATTTTTGATGTTTTAATCCGTACAATTTTCTTGTATTAAATTGATATCAATAAATATTCTATATTTCTATATATCAAACTAAAGAAATTTTGTTTTAAAAACTATTCTGTTATATTAACAAACATTAGTGAAGAACCTTCTTATAGTGTTACGAGATATAATCAAAGTAGAAAAAATGGATTTCATCGTGAATTGTATGCGAGCCACGGGATTGTTTGAAGGGTTCGTTCGTAGCGCTTTCGCTGGCTGATCGAAAAAGTATTGAGGACGGAAAAGACCACGCGAAATTTCGATCAGCGGAAACAGCGCTACCGAGACAATAGCTTTAGGACATTAAAAAACAATTGTCAATTTCCTGAAAATTGCATGCCGAATAGTCTAGCCTTCCTTTATCTTTCTCTATTTCATTTGGATAGACATTGAATAATTTATAGAAATACGTCGATTTCTATTTGGACAATCTTGAAAATCATGTATATTACATGAGTCACATTTCGCTGTTAAAAATAGAATATTTCCGAAATAATAATTTAAACAATTCTACTGTATAAGTGTAGTTCTAAGGACGTAATTTATTTTTGTCTATTTTACAAAGAGAAGTTCTTAAATGCACTGTCATAATGACGAGTGAATTATTACAAAATTGAAAAAAAAGAAGTTTTTTCAACTTCTGAAAATGAAATTTAAATATACATTTAACGATAGATATGAAAAAATCATGAAGAAATCGCCAAAATATAAACCAACAAATAAATATAATGTTCGATGTGATATTATACTGTTGGGTGGATGACTGGGACGAATGAATGTAAATAACCGATAAAGATAGAAAAGTGAGCAAAAAGGTAGAATGAAAAAAGTAAAGTAAGAAAAAGTAGGAAGGATCCTCATGGAAATCGTCATACTTAAATTATTAATTGATTATGGAAAGAACTTATTGAATTTCCAATGGGAAAGAATTCAATAATGACTGATAATATTTGTGAAGATAAAAAAAGAGACGGAAATATTGAATGAATATAGTATAAAAAAGTATAATTATATGGCGTCTTAATCGAGAATATTACAATCGAAGACAAAATGAAATGAAGAAATTAAACAAATTTAAAAACAAGAAAAAATTAGTAAAGTATAAAAGAGAAAGTATAGAGAGAATTAGAAACATTAAGTAGTGGTGTATTGGTATTACCGTTCGGGTCCGTAACAATCGGGTACAGTGATTGAGGCTTTGTACTGTTGGGCGTACACAGCGTGGTACAGTTGGTGGTATTCATTTTCATTGGCGTTCAACGTGGTGGTCGATTGGTTGGTCGATGTGCGGTTGTGTGCGGTCCATTTTTCACGTTCACATCCCGTGTTCGCATTTCGCACGTATTGCGCACGAAGAAGAGGCAGAAGGTGTGTGGTGGTCGAGAGAATTCATCCAGATCAGGTCGGGGCACACAACGACAAAGCCATGGTGGTGGTGGTGGTGGTGGTGGTGGTGGTGGTGGTGGTGGTGGTGGAGGGGGCAACCGGCACCGGGGTCGGGGCGGGGCCAGGGCACAAACCATCAACCAAGTTAGAACCACGTCAGAACCACGTCATTCGAGACGTCGTTTTTTTTCTTATTTTTATTTATGTTTTTGTTTTTTTCATTTTTCATTTATTGTGAAAAAAACCTTAATTCCTAGACGCTCAAAATTACCAACATGGTTGCGCACGTACTTATAACCATTGCCTCGATTTCTTTGGTTGGGTCCTATACGGGGATCGGTTAGAGTCCTTTTCGACTTTTCTTATTTAGCAAATCGCTCAATGAAACAATTGTATGTATCATATTCTATATGTAGTTCGATTATACCACCAAAAGTATTAAATATATTGAAGATTTTCGAATCTCACTTTAAGCTAAAGGGTGAAAAGTTTTATACTATATCATAACGATTTCACATAAATATTTCGATTGCTTTGATTGGCATATTCTTAATAATGATTAACATTTTGACTAGGAAATGTTGAAGCTATGCTAGAAATTTACCATAATCTGTACAGAAGAATATAAACATAATATAAAAATATTTGAATTGTGCTATCGTATATATACATATTTCACTAATATTAAAACTTTTATAATACCTAAATATGGATTGTACCGAAAACAAATCACAATTGTAATTGTTCTCATACATTTTGTACTGTACAGTATCATATAATATCAATAATTTTCCAGTAATAATTCTGCTTCAAACTTCTAATTTTAATTGTCACTAGATAGTGTAAAACTCCGTAGATAGTCTTATTATTAATTATTATATTCGTAACTTTCTTTATGTATCCTGGATATAGTTAAAAATGCATCATCTCGCAATTCACGATGCTTAGATTATTATATAAATACAACATTATATAAATTATAAATATTAACTACTATCTATAAATAGAATATACTAAAATATCTTACATGCTGTTGCAATTTAAAAGAAAAAAGGAACTTAAAAAATTGTGATCTGATTTAATTACTAGATGCAGTTCACCAAAGAAATGACGGCTTTTACGAAAGCTACTCAATAAATTATGTAAAAAAAGACAGCAGATGTTCATTGTAATAGTGTCCTTTATATCTACTTAAAATTGTTTAACTAAAATAAACCTAGAGAAAAGATATCGGCGATTTCATTTCAAGTAAAGTCGTAAAGGACTGCTCAGAAAAATCTAAACCATATTATTCCTTATTGCTGATAAATAAAATGAATAATAAACTAAAACTAGTCTAAACATGTGTCTACTTATGAAAACTGAAAACTGGTTGCTCAGTGTCCTTTCAGTAAGAAATATTAAAAAATGCTACGTCAAAAACAAACTTTTTTAATAAATAATGGAGAATAAAGAAAGTAAGCTATTGTACAATAGGCAAAGTACGTAATGCAGCATTTTTCTTAATTTTCTCACCGATCCCCATTGATAAAAGTTAAGGACATGAATATTTCTGCCTTCATCAGGGCTAAGCACAAATTTTTATATATGAATTTTTTTCTCCCACCCTCTATAAGTCCTTCACCTGTAGCATACTTCAATAAGGGGAGGTAATAGTGGTAGGTGGGTATTCTTTATTCCTTTTTCCGTTTTTTAGTTTTTTAACAATATATAGATATATATGCACATATTCGATTTTTGTTGTTGCGCATACATGTATTATATATTTTAAAAACAAAGAATAAAGTAAATTACGACCAAGAACGTAAAGAAACTAGCCGGTGTGCCACTTTCATACGTAGTTCGGGTATTTGTAGGCATGTAGGTATAAGTTTTGGTTATGAATTGGTGTTCGTATATTACGTGCGCGCGTGCTCGGTATCTGGCCACTCGCTTATTTGGGTGCACGCACAGGCACAAAAAATACGTGCACCTTAAATATAAGCATAGGGCTTGCACACATATTGAGTTAAACAGGCGAGTAACTTTATTTTTCATTTTATTTTCTTTGTAGTGAACGTGGTGATTTTTGAACAGGTATTAATGCAAGGGAGATAAGAATATAATAAGAGGGTTGGGTGTAGAATATTAAGACAATTGAATAGAGGTTTGGATAATAGAAAGGGTCCGTAAATAAGAATGAAAATATGAGAAAGAGAGAGGGGGGAGATAACGTAGGGAATTAATATACTAATTTAAGAAAAATTGTGGACTAGTACTTGATAATAAGTTACTAACATTTTCATAAAATGACTAATACGAAATATAGGAGGGGGCGGGGGTTAATCGGTATGACGAGAAAGAGTCAAAAATGAGTCTGGGAATTACTTACTTTATCTTTATCGTAGAACTTTATTCACTTTAACCGAGAGCACTAGAAAATATAGTATTGGTTAAGTAACGAAAATATCGAAATTTACTAATTAAACATACATTTTGAAGTTATTCTTTATTTTTTACTATTTGATTAGAATTTAAAATATATTTATAAGTGAATTTGAGAACTTTACTTAACTGGATTATAGATTTTTTTACAAGCAACAATTTTCTAATGCAATATTAATTTGTACAGAAATATTTATCTAGAATATTTAATTTCGAAAATATGTAATGTATCATCATAAAATAAACTTATATATAATAATACTTTTATGAAGTTATTGTTTTCGTATACAATAAGAAACTTTCTGCAGTTTTGCCTTTATTTTTATTTTTATATTTCTAGCGCTAGCACTCATATTTAATGTCTTGTTGATTTTCGACAAACATCTGTTTGATTGTAAGACACGTCCCTTTAGAGTGCAAATTTTCTCATTTCTACGATTTATACTTCTATACTACTTCAATTTTGACTCTTTCTTTATATTCTGTTTCATTTTAATATCTACACAGTTCTTGTTCTTATATTAAAAGAAAAAAGAAATAGGAAAGTATGAACAACTTTTTGGCATACGAAGTAGTCAGTAATATAGTGAAAAAGATAGAAGATAGCACAAGAGTTTAGAAAATAGCGTTTTCGCTTAATCCTTCACATTTCTGCTATTTACTGCTTTCGTATTATTTCATGTTTGTCGGTGAAATCACTAAAGAATAAAAAACAATTACTGTGAAAGCTTGCTGCTCTTACCTGACTGCGGAGTTTGGCGATGTTTTGGCCACCTCTGCCGATTATCGATCCAGCGACCTGTAAGTTAAGAAATTAAAATATTAATTGCGAACAACAGGTAACGAATAAACTGAACTTTTCAAACACGATATTTAATGCAAAATTTTATATCCTAGTTTTCATTCTATTGTTTATACTAAATGTGAAAAAAGGTATTTTTATTCGTTAATACTAAGTAATTTGTATATTTTATTTATATCATTTATATAATTTTATTAATATTGCCTTTCAGCTGGTATTTTATTATTTAATTTGACAATTAAAGTAAAGCCTTCATTATTATATATAATTGAAATGAAATTGACCTAGAAAATATAGTGCAAGCTAGAGATGACCCAACTTACAGTTCTAATGTTAGTCAGAAATTGTTTATATAATTCTTGATAATTGTTGACTCCCGATGAAAATAAAAATAATAAATGCATTTTTAGTTTCAATTATGCTATTTATTAGTCACTAGGGTCGATTTCTTCATGATTTTCGAAATTCAGAACAAGATTTCAAAAATAAACTGCAAATTTCAGTCATTAACAAAGAAAACGATAAACGCTTTTGCATTTGTAATATTCGTTTTGAGCTTCTTTGGAGTTTTTCTTTCAAAAAGAAAATAATTAACTTTAAGCAGCGCCACTTCATGCGAATGCCTTTTCTACCCCTTAGCGTCGGGGGTCACTCGAATAATATATCGACGGGTTATAAATACGTGCACGCATGGGGCACAAGAATAATTCCCCGTCATTACGTAGGCAAGTTCCGTCAGGCAGGCGCCATAAGTTTTCATACAAGTCGTGCGACGAGCGTATAGCATTCAGTCGACACTAATGAGAAGGTGCGTTTAAACGTTGTCCAACGCCTTTTCGAAGTTCTCGACGCATTTTATTCTTATAATTGTCGTCGGGCGATTTATTTTGACGATCACGTGCAGGCGCATCCAGCTCGAAGTTTTCTCAGTCAACCAACAGTCAAATATATCCAATGAGTGTTCATCTATATGAAGGTGCTTCCTTACGGATCGAGATGCATTCGCATTTGCTATTTTATCTTTGCTGTTGCTGAGGTTATATATACTGCACAATAAAAAGTACTTAAACCATCAATGAAAGGATTACAAAGACGTATTCTATAGATAATTATTTTGTACCGTATACAGAATGTTTTATGTGTACAGTATATTCACGAACTTTTGTTAATAAATACTCGTATAAATTTTTCAAATAAAATTATACACATTCTATGATTGGTATTCATCATATTATGAAAATCCGTTATATTTTGAAATAAAGTATTTAAAATACTTAAAAATAATGTTGTTCTTATTAATACAAATATATGTGAAATGTTTATTTTACTTTCTAAAAACTAACCAATGTTAAAATAAAAATTCTGAAGTACAAAGCACCATGTGATGGGGCTGAAAGTATTCAAAAGCGTTTGGCTATTCGAAGTACGTTGATCAGCAACGGTAACGATGACAGCGAAGTGAAAAATGTTGAATACATCTCTCATATATTTCGTATCATATATCTCATTCATAAATCCGTTTTTTTGAACGCGGACACGATATGAAACATTTATAGTGTCTTTAGTATAATGCAATGATATCTTGAAAATATGCATGAAAATATCAACTTATTACACATGCGAAGGTGATCTCAAAAGTTATTTAACAAAAAGTCGCACGATTTTATCATAAAACTAAATAAAGTTCATAATATGAAAGGTAATCGTGTAATTTTATTTATATTTATTGAATCCATTCTTGACAAATGCTAATAAAAAGTCAATTATATATAAGCCGATCTATTTAAGGTAATAAGCAATAGAACAATGTTCTGGAAAAAATTCGAATTTAGATAGAAATTCTAATATTAGTGAATTAAATGTTTCCAGTTCTGAATACTCCAAATAAGAACTTATTGTGTAACGTTAAAGTTTTAGGAAACAATTTTAATTGATCACTCCGGGCACGTGGTTTTCCTTTAAAGTGTTCAAGTACGAATTTTTATAATGCAATATTACTCATAATTAAAATTGCTATATCAATTATGAAACATTCATCTTGTTTAAATATTTTAATTTTTAACAATTTCTATAAAATAGGATTTCATTTGTAAGTCTTACAACAATGAAGTTCAAGCATAGCACATAAATGCTTCTAAATTATTCGATCTAGATCTAAATATTTTAATGAAAATAAATCAATGTCAATGAAAATCAGAAAATTTTAATTTAAATATCAAATTATTAACAAATATTAAAAGTCAGAGAAATTATTTTTTTCTATGCATATACATAAACTCAAGATAGAAATGCATAATTTTTTTATTGTTTTTGACTTCTTCATAAAAATATAGCAGCAAATTGTTTTTGTAATAGTTGAAATTACATTTATATTTCTTTTGATATTATAAGGAAAGAAGATATTTTTATAAATTAACTTTTTTAAGATTTTATTTGGTTGGGAGCAATTTATATATTATCTTAGTTTTTCAGTTAGTGTGATGAGTTGTGATGAGCTATAGTTGAAATATGTGGTCGTAATATTAGATGAATAAAAAAACTTTCACACGTGTATTTTTTAAAGAAAAGTTGCCATGTAGATGAAAGTTAAATGACCTAATCGTCTTAATAAAATGTCTTACTATATGACTAGACTAAAATTAAGCATTAATGAGTCACAATTTTAAATAGATAATTTACGAAAAAATGGGTAAATTATCCGTATTTTCAGAAACTTCATTATCGGTTTGATTAAATTTCTGTTTGTACGAAAACGTAAATTAAGTGACACCCGTGATTTTAATACAGCATGACAAAATAATATATGCTCAACAAGCGATAACGATTAACCTGTCAAATTCATTCGATCCTACTATCGTTATAATTATCATTGGTATTAGAGCTCCAATTCGTGACGTATAAGGTGCATAATTCTCGCGGTAGCTAACGCAGTGACGTAGGTTTATGGCAAAGCGAATGGTGCAAATAATAGTTAGCGATTGCTTCATCACTATGCAAGAATAAATGAGCAATACATTGACATAGTGCTGCTCCTGAAGTTCCAAGTGATTTCGGTCGTTGTCGATATTCTAGAACGAGGAGATAATTTTGCGTGAGAATGTATTGATACGAAGATACGTATTATTATTCTCTTTTGATGTATATTTTTTATTTATCATTTTATTTTTTCAATGATAAGATTGATAATGTTTACTATTTATGAAATAAATACATAAATATGAGTGAAAATGTAATTAAAGTAAATAATAAAAAAATGATTTTTTATTAGTTTATTATTTAAATAAAATTTTAAGTTTAATTATTAATTTATGTTTATATTTATTGCCGTTATAATTTCTACGAATTGAATATACCTCATAATTGAATTCTAAATTGAATATATATCGCTCCTTTAATTAAATACACATATCCAATATTGTTAATTTTAATATAAAAATTCTATTCTAAAACTTCATGATATAAATAGTGTAATATTTTTAAAAAAATTAGAAATAAAAGGTTAACTTTTAAAACGTTGTGAAAGTCGAAACGCGTATAGTTAAAGTATGTCAGATAATGTAAGTATATCCATACATAAATGTAGATGTGTACCCAGTTTGGTCAGACCGTATTTTATGTATGACTATTGGAGATAAACTAGGCATCTTAATTTGAGAATTTAAAATACACTGTTCTCAATATTTTCATTATTTAAGAGATTAAATTTTTAAAAGTGTTATATCATTTTAAAGTATTCAACTTATAGCCATAATTAAATCAATAGACAATTCTTTTTCGTATAGATAATATAAAATAGAATTCAATTTAACTGAATACATATTTCATTGATTTAACTAAATAAATTTTTTATTTAAGTATTAAGGATGCGAGTAATTTATTTAAATTTATAACAAATAAAATTGTGAATGTAAGTTCTTTTATTCAATTAATATAGTGTAAAATTCATGAATAATGTATTTTTTTGTAATATATTACAATAAACAAGTAATAATTAACTAAAATTAAAGGTTTCTTATATTTAATTGTACATAAAATATTTGGATAAATTTCGGAAATCAAATATTCTATTTTAATAAATGATAAATAATGTTTATAACAAAAATGTTATGATACTAATATAAAAATTGAATCTGAAATTAAAAGCTAATAATTATAGAGTAGTTAAACTGAATTAAAACGTCGAAACAATTCTAAAATAATAATTATTTGTAAAAATTGAATTTAAAAAGTTTGTTGTATTAAATATTCTAAATAGCAGCGGCATTTTAACTGGAATTTATATATTAATTGATTATAGTGGAAATATTCACTTCCATATATTATAATTACGTAATAGCGTACGGTGTACGCAGTATATAATCATAATAATAAAATTTGGTTAAATATCATTCGTGGCTAAATTATTAAGATATATTTTCAAGATAAACTTTTTATGGATTCATTCAAATCCTCTGTATTTCGTACAATATAATATATTTGAAAATTTTTTACCTGATAATATTTCTTATTAGACTTGATGTTTTAAATCATTTAATTGTCACAAGAAAAATTATTCTTACATACGTTTATATAATATGGTATTATATTAATTCTTGTATTTAATATTATTTGTATACATCTTACTATTTGTAATCTAAATGGAATTGCGTTGTTGAAGTTTGTATAATTCTTCAAATTATAAAGTAAAAAAATGATATATAACATCATTTTGTAGAAGTGCAAAAGGATTTAGATTGTTAATTAAATTGATACATTATTATATTTAATATGCATCTTAGGGGAATCTTTTTACTTAAAGAAATAATCTACCATTGAATTAAAGTGACGAATTTCATTATATAAAAGCACGTATGTTTTTTCTGTTTATATTATAAATTATTTAAGTACGTAGTTTAGTTTGATTTAGTTATGAAAGTTAAAAAAACCTGCTATTGATAGAATCTCATTAGTTAATTAATAGATTTAATTAATAAATTAATAAAAAAAAATAGATATGTAAAGTCTAATTTTATAGATTATTAAGTTTTAGGAAAAATTCGAATAATTATAGAAATAAACCTAAACATAAAAAGAACCTTACGTCTATTTTGATTAGTTTGTAATCATGGCTTTAGTATGTGAAGAATCACAAAATTATACGGTATAATTTAAATGTCGTGGATAAATAACATTACATGCGCAGAGCACCATTCAAGTTTACTAACATTGCCCTTTCTACGCATTCAGCTACTTAAATTTGAAAAGCGATTAGAAACGCAGGGAAGGACTCGCAGGCTAATGTGGACGTGGGAGACGAATTTATCGATTAGCCGTTCTTCTATGTATCTATCCTTGAAAGTAAAAGAGACGCGTAAGCACATCAGAATTTAAAAGATGCCAGTTTCTTGTAGTCAATTGCTTACATTTATACGCATGTGTGCTCGCGCGGCTATACACATACTTCTGTATGCATGTATATTGGAAACAAGATTGGTCACTTGTGTAGGTAGCATATATACTTGTAGGCGGCTTCTAACAGTTATTTCTTTTCCTTTTTTGAGCATGCAGTACCTCATATAAGGAAATACTATTTTACCGTATACTAGATATGTTTTAATTATAAAGACTTAATTCAAATTAATATATCACTTTCAGTTTCAATATTATACTAAGTATTCATTTCATTTATGAATTTAGACTTTTTCATATGTTATTTTTCATTAGCCACAGTTTAAATGCATTTTTAAGTTTTCATATGCATCGGTACATATTGATGGATAGATGTTATTTCCATTTCTTCTTTTTTATTTCCATGCTCGTTTGTACGTCTACGGGCCACAGTTAAATTATGCATGAAACTATATTTGCACAATACTTTTGACGATGAGAAAAATAATAATTGTTCTTAATTAAAGAAACTGCTTGCCTACTAACATGTACTTAAGTATTAGGAAATTCATATCAAATTGACCAAATTCACAAAAAAAGTTTTACGTTTTGTATGATTTTGGGAACTTTTGTAGATTCTTTAGAGGATGACGCGTGTCACTCGAGAAAGCGAGAAAACCCCGGCTTCCGGTTTTTCGGTCGAATCAAATCGTTGCGGTACTTGTATCTTGAGAAAAGGGAAAAGAGGTAAAAAGGCAACGTCAGTTGGGATTACAATGACCGGAAGAAAGCTGCTCCGCTGACCAAGGTAACGTGTTCCATGGCTCACTTGTTGCAAATATTACGGGACGTAAATTGGCGCAATCGGCGAGACGTAGTTACCGAGGTAGAAAGATTATCGTGAAATTCTGTTAACGGCTATGATACTACTATGGGCCACTTATATTCAAGTAGCTTTTCGAATAGACCTAAATTTAGATGTGCTTACGAATTTTCATTTACAAACACAACTGTTGTTGTGAGTTACATTTTATTTTAATTTGAATTTGTGTTCGAAGAAAATTTACCTTGAGGGTGTCGTTGTGCTATGGCCAATCTACACGAGCTCTTTGCATACATTAATCGTCGTTTATAATTAAAACTTTTTTAGCAAAAGTAATTAAAATAATAATAAAAATAAAAAAATATTAATGCTGGTATGAATGAATACGAAAAATCTATTAATCGTTTACAAACATTGGTAAATCCTCAAAATATACAAATTAATTGATTTCAATATATATATATATATATATATATATATTGGTACTTTAATAGACTATTGTTATAAAAGTGAAAATACAATAATGGATGTACGTACTCTGCTGGGGATAAGGAGTCTTAGTTCATCTTCCCCCTGTCTGTAGCGCTTGCTTGGGTTGGTTGGACCCCCAGATGTAGCGTCTGCTTCTCGCTTCATTATTCCTGAAACATAAATAGTAAACGGCTTCATAAAAATCATGCCAAGTAAGCTGCGTGCCAAAAACCGTTTAATGAATGGCTTACGCTGGATATATTCAATTGTACTTCACGTCTACGATTGCATTATTTATTTAGCCTCGTGACTGACTTCCGGACAAAATCGCTAAATCGAATGTACAGTCACGGATTTCAGTTTGCAAGCACATTAACAAATTTTCAAATTTTTTTAAGTTTCTGGAATTAGCTTCTATATTCATGAAGATAGTTATACGATATTTACAGAATCATTTAGTAATTTAGAACTAGAAAGAGAATTATATCCGACACATGATAAGTAGTTGCTATAATTGCAACCTAGCGTATTTCTTTTAGACATAAAGATATTTTAGAATATGATAGATTTATATCCATAAATTTAAGAGACTAATGGTAAATTTTAGCGTTCATTTACAGTGGTACCGGACACTTATTGGTTTCTTTTCTATGTGCGAACATTGAGTGGCTCGTGACGGTAATCGTTAAAACCATAATCTAAAATTTGAAAAAGAAGAAAATAACTTCAAATTTGAAAAAGAAGAAAAAATGTAAAGTAACTTATAAACCTTATAAAACTTATAAAATGTATAGTATATAAACCACAAGGGTTGGGAGCCCTTAACGTGATAGCTCCCCTCTATAGCCATTACAGTGTTATGCTGAGGCTTCCATTCCCGTTGTTTATTATGCTTCGATAAAAGCGGACTCAAAACAATGACTCGGAATATCTATTCTACCTTGTTTATTTTTCGATTTTAACGGATTTATGATGGAATTCTGCAAAAACAGGTTGACCTCACACTTTTCATAACGACAAAGCATCGGCCTCATTAAAATTCGAATAATCATTTATTTAAATTTAAAGAGAATCAATAGAATTTGAATTCACAAGCAACAGGCATTAAGTATATAGATTCAAAGTAACTTTACAAGTAAAATAGCCTAAGATCGGTTTTCTTAATTCATTTTTTTAGTCGAACTTTATTTAAATTCTTAAATAAATCTTTTTATAAAAAAAACATGCTGGAAAAAATATACTTTACTACATTGAATTTTATTTTCATTTATTTGCGATTTTTTTTTATTTGATTACAATTAAATTTGTAATCTATTTTTTAACTTAATTTTTATATACATTAATACAGTTTATTATGTATTTATTCATAAAATTATTATTAGTAATTATTATTAATAAGATTAAATAAAATTTTAAATCGAGTTAACAAATTTTTTCGTATTAATATTAATAATAACTGAATGTTTAACTTTATACAACATCGAATACTTCTTAATAATTACATACGAAAAATGATAAATTGAATCTTTTAATCAATGTATTATAAAAGTCTTTAAAGATCAAAGTAATTTATTTAATTTGATAGATAAATGCAATAGATACTGTACATTTCATATTAAATAAAGAGATTCTATTTCTTCTATAATGGTGTGAAAATATAAACATTTTTATCTATGATAAAAAAGATTATTTCTACATCAGCATAAAAACTTAAGGAAATTTATTTAAAATTCAATTAAATATTTGTCTTGTAGAATTGATTCTTTTATTTTTTTAAACATATTGGTGAAATTACTTTTAAAACAAAAAAATCAGTTAAAATCTATCATTGTTTAATCTTATTAATATCTTTACAAATAATGATCTTAAATTTAAATGGTATAAACAATTCGTTTTGAAAAAATTTCATAAGTTTAACGCGATATCACTCATAATTAAAAAGATAAATTCACTGATTTGTACTTGTAATAAAACAATTTTTAATGAAATGATACATACACTAGATCGGGTAGGAAAATATTTGCCTGGCGATTAAAAACGTTCAGATAATTATTAAAATTCATAATACTCAATACGGTTTTATGTACAATATATAAGAGATCAAACTGCAGAGATCCACCCACTCGATAACATCTTGCTCAATTTCCTTTTTTCCAACTTTCACAATACATAGCACGTAATATACATCAGAGAATTAAGTGTATTTTCATTCTAATGAATTTTCTGTTTCTTTATTTAGTAATAGGATAGTGAAACATTAACGGAAAGATAATATAATGATGATGTGCTATGGTAAGATTTTACAATATGTATATGGGAATTGACGAGGTAACTAAGTAAATATGTTGACAGGTATTCGGTAATTGTAATTAGAAGTAAAATTTAGAAATAAGAATTGGCACGATAGAATAGTATATAGTAACGTCAAGTCGCGATTTTTGGCTTACATTTTATTAATGAATTTATTAACCAATTTTTCATTTTGATCTTCTTGACATAGATTTGCACACGATATTGCATATGGCAGATACTAAATAATTTAAGTCACTCATATAATTTCCACGTTACCGATAATTATCACGATGTAGATTATTGAATACTTAAGAGGGCTATCAATTTTTTTAAACATTAGGACGACAAGAAAAATTGCTTTTCATAAAGTGAAACGAATTGTTTTAAGGAATCTTGCACTTTTGTAATTTCTATGTATAAATATTTTTTAAATGAATTTTTGTTAAATTTTTTTATTACATTCATTTTATTATTTAAAAACAGTGTTGAGATATTTTATTAGATATTTATCACAATTAATAACATATATTGAGCATTCAATAACTTGAATGCTAACATATCCGAGCTCATTATTATTTATATTTATGCAGGTTTTTTTTGTTATATAAGAGCATTTCAATGAAATTCAATCTGATTCAAGCACATTGCATACATCAGCTTCACGTTTCATAATAATGATAAAACGTTACACTGTCTTTATTTCAAAGACTTATTTTGTTGTGGACAAAAAAGGAAATAGGTTTGGTGCGTGCGAAGGATTTACACTTTACATAATACCGTGCTTAAGTTTAATTAATTAAAACAAATTTTTTTTTATGTGTTCAAATATATTTTTTAATTATTTTAATAGTATTAATAGCTCTATAATTTTGTTATTAAAATAAGCCAATTGAAATAAGTCATGGCCTTTAAATAATTCTTTATCTAAAAATTAATAATACATTATAACGAGAAATTCAATTCACTTTCAATTTATTCATAAAAACACCAAATATTTTTACGAAAACTTCAGATTTTGCCCTTATTTGAAATGAATGCGATTAACAATTTCACAGATATAAAATTTTTTCTATGAACGAATCATAATTATAAGTTGTTCTTAATATTGATACATGAAGTTCTTGAAAATTTAAGTATTAATAAATATAATAATCTTTCATAACTAAGTAGGAAGTAATATATATTTCCTTATTAGATAAAATAATTGTTTGTAAAATAATAAAATAATAAAATTATTACTTTACAATTACGTCAATGTTAAGAAATTATGGAACCAAATTAAACAAATGAATAAGGTAAAGTAATCTTTTTTATTATTAATAATAATTAATTATTAATAAATTTGATAAATATTTCTTTTTTATTAGCTTTCATCGTTAAATTTTTACATAGCACTTAACCTATTTTAATACTTATAAAATTGAAATTTCGATTAAATGTAATTCTCAGTGTTATCATAAGCCTTTTATTTATTTGAACAAGTCAAATGAAATAGACTTAAAACCAATATTAATGACATTAACGAATAAATAATTTAGCAGACTTTTATAATAGAAAAGTATTATATCACAATAACTCAACAATTTTTGTAACGCGGCAGTTTTTCTTTTATATAGCACATAACGAAAAGATGTTAAACTTTGTAGGATGCACAAGTATACTAGAATCTCACAGATAATAAGCTATTTCTTTTAGGTACTGAATCCATTAATACTCGTATTAGTGAGCCGATGAGAAAGAAAGCAAATGCAACGGGCAAACAAACGTTCACATACGTTATGCGGATTTGCGCAAATGTGCGCTGCAAATCATCACCTAGACAAAGCCGTGAGAAATTGAGTAAGGCGTGGCATGCTACTCTCCCTCCGATACATAACCTTTTTTTCGTATTACACTGGCTGAGGATAAATTGCATTTCTATCTGTGCTATTAGGTTGTGTAGGTACTCAAGAGACGAAGATAAGAAAATAAGGCTTTTCTACCTTTCCGAGTTATTTCTTATTTCTGTATTTTTACTATTTCGTTCGCATAGTTAAGAGTTTTATGAAAACAAATGGAGGAGAATCTGATGGATCTTGATTTCTTAATGCAACATTTTATGTTTGTGACTTGTTTATGTTAAAAACTTTACAAGCGAATTGTGGAAATGTGATTATCCATAATTTTTAATGAATATACTTTATGTATTTCATGTGAAGTTCATTTAATATACATTAAATGCAAAATTTTACAATAGTGAAATTATAGTTTCACTAACATAGGATATAATACGAGATGGGACACATAACGCTCATAATAATCTCTAAGCATTTCTATTCCCAATGCACATTGCGTAGTTATAAATATTATGTACGTTGTAGTGTATATCATACAAAGTAAACTTGATTTATCAAATATCATTAAAAATTTTCTTATTGATATTTATAAAATGCCACCATTATTATGCTTTTATACATTATTGCAATTGTTGACTGTTTTTAATAACAAAAACATGTATTTATATTGATTTTTAAACTCATTAAAGTGTGCTAAAATAATTCATAATCATCCAATCTATAAAAATTCTATAAAATAATCATTATTTCTAGTTTTTTTTCTTAAATATAAATATTGGTAGAAAGTAATTAAGTAATGAGATCGTATCAATTTAACCTTGATTTTAATCACTAGTTTAATATCCTTTTTGTCATGTGATGGATACTTATTTAATAACACTAATAGATACTATTTATTTGCAACTTAGATGGTCGGACCTTCGATTCGTGCTTTGCACTGTACAGCTTCAGAGTACATTTACGTTATGCAAGTTCAGGATACGAGACAAGATTTTATATTAATTTCATTCTCGATCCTTAATTAGAGTGCAAGCGTGTGATTT